GAGGGGAAGGATTACTCGATTCTTTCTTCACTTTTTTTTACCTTAGTAATATTAATATTAATATCAGCTTCAGACTTAGATTCAAATAAAGAACTTAAACCAAAATCAAAAGAGTCATCAGACGATATATCAGAATTAGTGTCTGAACCTGAATCTGAATCTAAAGTGATAAGATTTATTTTACCTTTTTTAGGTTTACTTTTCTTTTTTCTAGAATACTTACGAGAATTATGATCAGCTTTACCAAAATTAGAGCATTTATACTTAGCTAACTTTTTGATCACATTAACTATTTGAGAGTATTTTTTGGAAAGCTTAGTATAATTGGTATTAGCAATACCCAATCTTCTTATTAATTTGTCATTAATATAATTATCTAAAAACATAAGATCTTTTAGTGCATTAGGTGATATTTCTAAACGAACTATACGAATATATATCTTTTTTAGGTATCATTATTTTAGAAATACGTCTAGATTGGTTGAACTAACTGGGTTCATAAGAATGCTATTTCAGATTTTAACTTTTCAATTTCAGCTGAAGAATTATTCTGATAATTTTGATCTCCATTTAAATTTAGAGTACGCTCTAATCACATATCTTTAATTGTGTAAAGAATGCATCAATACCAGCAGGAGCAACAGCTCATATCCATGTATAAAGATCATCCGATAAGTGATTCTTAAGAAATCCTACAGTTTAGATATCACCATTTATTATACCTAATAATAAAGGTCAGATTCTTTTTTTATAAGTATCTGGTGAATTTGTAGGTAGAAATCTTTCTTGAGTTAACCTTTGCAATGCTGACTGCTAACTATCTACTATTTCATATTGATATTTTGATCTCATCCAAGTATGTAAAATAGCTAAAGTATTAATATTAGTATTTTTATTATATGATTCTTGAGCTGGAACTGGTAAATATTTTCCTCCCATCTGAGTTTTATAAATATCACACTTGACAGCATCATCAAAATCTCCAATATGTGCATTTTCAAAAACAGTTATATATCCTTATGTAAATGATATTGATTGAATAAACCTATCCAAATAATTGTTAGGAGGTTCTTGGTTTATATACAACTTATTTTTAGCAAGAATAGGTGCAATCAAATTTAATACTGATAAATGTCTAACATTAGCCATGTTTGCAATTGGGTTATTTTGAAACGCTAAAATTTGTTTCTGCAAATTTAAAATATTCTGGTCTCTTTGCCTAATCACTAGCTGAAAAACAAACTTTTCACATAGCAATTTACCAATTCAGGTTTTTTTTCTTGCTATAATAACTAACATTCTATTTACCTAGTTTTGAACATTAATCTGCAACTGTTAGGTATTTTGCTGAAGACGATTAGTATCTTACTGATACAATAGTTATTTAGCAAATTTTCTTACAATAATCCTTGAACACGCTTATCTTTATCCTGATATAAAAACATTTAGCGATGATATTCTTGTCTCTCATTATTATAGACTAATATAGCCAAGTCCTGCTCTCCTTAAGCATTGCCTCTTTCTCTCACAGTTTTTTCAACCTGAACTCAGGATTCATCTAATAAATGTTATAACTGTAAATTCTGATTTCTGCTATCATTTAACTGATTTCTAAGATCATCTACCTGCTAAATTGAATCATTTAATAGATTCTAATATTGATTCCTCTCAGTTGTGATGTTTTGCAAAGTAACCTGAATAGTATTTAACAAGCCTCTAATTCTATCTATAATATTGGCAAAATTTTGCATAAGCATACTAACCCCCTAATGTGATTTTCAATTTGATCTAACCCTCTATTAATATTTGTAATAAGATTAGTCGTTACTATATCTAAAGCATTTATTGAGATTTATTTATCTATAAGAATTTAGATTCTTGCTTTAAGATTTTTAACCTTATTTTTGAGCTCTATGATTCAGCTATCTTGAATAGACCCAACCTCATTTTTGAATTTTTTATTCTGTTGTAAAACCCTAAAATGTTTTCGCAAATCAAATATTTCTAATTTAAGTTTCTCTACTTCTTTTTTATAGGCTACAATAGTATTATCCTATAATGAGATAGTTTGATAACATTGCTCAAGCTCCTTCACAAGAGAGCGAAGTTTTTTCTCATTGCTCTTATTAATAAAAATCTTATTTTGAAGCTCATTACAAAGCTCTTGATTCGTATTTAAAAACTATGAATATGCTGAAGTAAACATTCTATTATTCAGCCCTAATTTATAGTACTATCATAATATTTTTGTTTTAGGAATGAGTTAACCCTAAATTGTGATAGAATCATATGATGAGCTCTGTATAGTCTGTAGGCTTCTATATTATAATATATCTGGTTTTTATTCTAATGTAAAAAAATACATAAAGCGTATCAGGAGGAAGGATATTCTTTTCAATTACAGGATATTATGAAATGAGTAAAATATCAATATAGCTATCAAATCTATATACAACTATTACCATGTAAGGTCGAGGCAAGTTTTTCAAAAATTAAAATCCCAAATAAGGTCTACTAGTATGATATTTTGCTCTATATTCATGATGATTAGGATGGTAAAAGGGTATTTGTTTATAGCTTTCTAGTCATAGATATGGCAACATGTTTTAAGGCTAGGTATTCATTAATATTAAGAAATAGTTTAGAAATCTGGATCGCAATCAAAGAAATATATGAGGATCTTTCTAATCCTCTCACATGGTTAACATTGTCAATGACTGATGGTGATGTTTCATTCTAAAATGCATTTTTACGAGGGATGCAATAATATAATATCACTATATATGTTATCGATCTTTATAGTTTTAAGAGCTTGGCTTTTATTAAAGCATTCAAGAAAAATTTAGCAAAACTAATATATAAGGTCTAATATGCTATAAAAGGTAATTAACTAAAGGAGAATGTTCAAGGTTCTGGAATAAATTTCTTTAAAAGTATATTGATTTTTTGAATAATAGCAGGACTTGTCTTATTAGAATATCACCAGTTTGTGCTATGACTTTAGATAATGTTAAATTGAAACCCTCTAGTAAAGTTAAGCGAGCAATTGAAAGGCATGAAGAGATAAAGTTAAAAAAGAGTATGGTAGTTAAATATCTATTGAAATCAGGTAAGCTGAAAGGTGATCATGAGCATAAAGTAACTGATCTATACTGATCGTTATATATTTATAAGATTAAAAGAATTGTTATTGGAAAGAATCCATCATAACCAATCTTATATTATCTTGAAAACAAGCCTGTTGAATCAACTGTTCACTTAATGAGATGGAATCCCAAATGACCCTTTAAATATGAGGAGCTCTAAGTGATTGAGAAACCTGATAAAATCGAGTATCTACCTGATGGATTTATACGAAAATATCATTCTATTAAGTTTATCCATTATATTCAAATTGCTAATGATAGTTTAATCAAAGCTCATCAATATTTGAAAAACGTGATGGCTAATGTCTAAGAAGAACTGGACAAGTAAATGATTATAATGTTTATCTTAGTTCTGTGAAAATAGTGCATATCAATAGGAGTATCCATTAAAATACATCATGAAAAAATTCAAATGGTGCCCTCTATGCCATTACACTATCGAAAAAAATGTACGTTACATTTTCGAGGATCTGCTAAGTAAGAAATTCCCATCATGTAGGCCTAATTTTTTAGATAAAATGCATCTCGATAGGTATAATGAGGAATTGCATCTTGCATTCGAATTTCAGAGATCCTAGCACTATCATCATAACAGTCAATACTATTGAAAGAGCAAAAGTTTAGAAATCCAGAGAATGCGTGATTAGAAGAAGCAGGATATTTACAAAAAGTAAAATATATATCTTATCAAAATACCTCATATAGTAAATTTATATTTGTTTATTAGACATACACTAATTGAGAAAGGATTCTTGAATAAAGTAAAGAAATAAAAAGGGAGGACTGATAAATTAGTCTGATATTTTTAGTATATCATTATTAATAGTTAGCTTACCATAAAAATAAAAAAACTTGAGCCAATTGATAGGTTTGTATATTATATTAATGAGATTAAGGATGCTAAAAAATATAATGGACATTCGAATGTATTCCAGTGACCTTTACTTTACTAATCTATGACCATATTAATTCAGGAAAGACTAATGAGATTCTCAATCTCATACTTAGAAATAAGCTTTATTGAATGTTTAATAGGAAGAAAGGAGAGACACATTATATCAAGAATAATGATTTTCTATTAATTAGTCACAATCTTAAGGAGATGAAATATATATACTCAAATCAGTGTATTAGATAATTACAAATAGTCCAAAGCCTATCGTAAAAATATTACATTTTGAGCTTTGAAGCCTGATAAAATCCCTAAGGTGGATTAGTTTTCTTCAGATAAAGGTATAATATTTATATTTGAAGATATATACGCTGATCTGAAAAAAGTGCAGGAAAAGATCATCTCTTATTTTGTTAAAGAGCGCCAATATAATGTTAGTTCGATATATGTATCCTAAAGTTACTTTAATTGTCCAAAGATAATACAAAAAAATTTCACATATGTTTGCCTATTTAATGAGTCCTGCACTATAGATGAGCTAGTTAGAATTGTGCATTAATATTATGTGTTAAGTGTCAATTTACATTAGATGCAGCTAACGCACGTCAGGTATTGATCAATACTTGACATGCGTCAGTTAATATTTGACAACTGAGACGCGTTGGCTGTCATCTGACACATTAATGATCAAATAAATAATTAATGTATTATTATATCATTTACTTTATGACTTATATATTTTTTTTCGTCTCACATTTTTTTTTATTAATATTTGATTTTTTTAAGATGGAATACAATTTTATTAGCAAGGCTACACTTGATGATATAATTAATAAATATATAAGTTCTCTGCCAGATTGTTGTTAAGAAAAAGCCTTAGTTAATATAAATCTTTTTGAATGAATAAAAAAAATATTACTTAACCCTTTTGACAAAGAAATTGACACAAAAACTACACGTGAATGGGAGAAATTACTCCAGGAGACTATAGAATTATCGTTAAAAAAGATAATAAACCTGTTTTAAAAGTTGAAAATATGTATGAAGTACTATGCAGAACACATGCTGAAATTGATAATCATGTAGGTCAAAAGTAACTAAGGAGTCAGTTAAACAAAATTGGAGCTTTGTAAGACTGGAAATTGTTGAAAAGTTTGTCAACAACTGCACTATATATGCTACCCGAAAGTCTTCTTTTCATCCTTTAGCAAACAAACCAATAATTGCAAAAGATTATCTATTTTGTGTGCAGGTAATTAAAAAAATTTATTTAATTAATTAATATTATGAATAAATGCATTTTAATTTAAAAGTTTTTCTATAGATAGATTTAATTGATTTGTCTTACGATGCTGATGGTGATTACAAATATATTTGTCATGCTCGCGATCACTTTACTCGATTTTCTTGGGCAAAACCACTTACTTCTAAACGAGCTGTTGAAGTAGCAGCCTTTTTATTTGATTTATTTTTTTTTATTGGTTCTCCTCCAACTATTTTACAATCTGACAACGGAAAAGAATTTTGTGCTGAAATAATCAAAGAACTTGTTAATCTTTGGCCATCTATAAAAATTATCAATAGAAGACCTCGTCATCTATAATCTCAAGATTTAGTAGAGAAAGAAAATGGTATTTTACAACAAAAATTAGGGAAGTGGAGGGAAACCTTTGGAAGAAACGATTGGTCATATGGACTTTGCTTAGTGATTTTATCCATGAATAATTCTGTTTGTAGATCACATAAAAAAACCCTTTATGAACTTGTTTATGATAATAAACCTCGTAAAAATTGTAGTTTAATTGATGAATTATTTATTTGAAGCATTTATGATGAAGAAAATATTCCTGAAATGATCAAAATTATAGATTTTGAAAATTCTGATGAAAATTTAGATAATAATTTTGATTTTAACGAAAATTTACTTGGTAAATATGTTGTTAGTATTATTATTTAAATTTAATTTAATATATTAATAATAAATTTTTTTTAGATTTTTATTATATACCAAAATCATTTCATATGATATTATTACATTTAATTTTATTTTGTTATTATATTTTTATTTTAGTATAATTTTTATTATAATTTTTATTTTAGTTTTTATTATAATTTATTAATTTTTAGTATTATTTTTATTGTAAATTATAATTTTTTATTATAATTTTTATTATCAGTTTTTTATTTTATTAATTTTTATTAATTTTA